ATGTGTGTTTTCCCTATTAAGAAAAGATGTTATGAGGTTTTTTCCCCCTAAACTAAAACCTCAGTATTCAAGTTTAATTGCGGAGTTGACACTTTGAGATTAAGTCAGTAGTTTTGGGTTGCATCTTGAGTACTCATCCTGAAAAGGTTTGCCAATCTTGGAGATGAAAGCTGGTAGGAAATCAGTTTTAGTCACAGATGGAGTACTGAGGAGGCAGAGTGATGTTGTTTTCAGAGCTGCACGTGCAAGGAGGGATGCAGAGGGCTTTGACCAGACGAGAGGTCTTCCCTTCTGTGGCCTCCACACTACAGACCTGCACTTCTTGGGGCAGCCCCTTTAGTTCTTCAGACATAATTTCCTGCAGGTCACACCTCACAGCAGTTAACATGCTTTGTGTTCAAACAAAGACTAGGAGGAGAGTTGCACATTCTGATGTTAATCTTAAGTGTAAGGAATATTTTGGAAAAGATAATTTAGCAGTTATTGCCTGTATCATGTACATGTGGCTTCTCTTCAGAATGCCAGGCGAAGCAGGGGTGTGTATACTCTTGGAAAAGTAACTTTGCGTGGGCGCTAGGAAAAGATATAACCTTGACAATGACTACTTGCAAAGGAGTGGCCACTGGTGCAGCTCCGCTGCTTGTCTGATACTGCAGAATGAGGTTTTCTTGACTGTGAGTCTGCTTTGGGAAACTACGAACAAAACATTCATTCTAGTCTTCCTGCTATTGCTATGTGCTGGCTCAAGTCCTGTGCAGAAGGCGTAGGGTGTTGTGTTATCTTGTTCCTTCTTTAAACATTGTAGTAAAATAGACATAAAAATGTAAGGAACATGCTTCAGTGGCATGAAATACACTCACAGTATTGTATAATGATTACTTTCACCCTGTACTTCTTGACAACCAAAGGGAAACTCTAGTTGTGAAGTGACTGTGCCTATTGCTGTCACTCCAGCCCCTGATGCTGGCAGCCTCCTGTGTCTCTGAGTTTGCCTGTTCTGAATATTTTGTATAAACAGAATCATACAATCATGGGCTCTCTTTTGTGTGGCTTCTTTGTGTTTTCAATGTCTGTTGTGCCATGTGTGTCACTATTTGGCTCAGTAACATTCCTTCACATATACCACTGCTCCAGGTGCTTCTCCAGCCCACTGTTAGTGTGGTGGCCAGGGCATACCTGTGCCAGTTTCTCAGGCACTTCACAAGGCGAAGATCCCAGTCAGAAATGTCTTCAGATCCACAGCAGACCATGGCCTGCCTGTGAATAGCAGTGTGCCCTGCCCCATCAGCCAGAAGTTTGCTGCTGAGGGAAGACAAAGGAGCTGCTTTGCTCTTCAGAACTGTGCTCAGAAATACCTACCTTTAAACCAGGAATCATTTCTAGGTGTGGGAGCCAGAGGAACACTGAACAGGAGCTGCCACCTCACTCTCCCTCTCACCTTCCCAGGTAGGATGAGGGGACAACTAAGTGCAGTTGTGCCCCTTGTCATACTGCAGTCATTTGCCAGATTAAGTTTTGAGATAATTTACATGCCATCAAATTTGTACACTTAGCAGTTTTTAGTATATTCTATGTTGTGCAAACATCTCTGCAGTCCAATTCCAGAACATTTCTATCACTCCAGTAAGAAACTTTAAACCTGTTAGGAATTGGGTCAGCCCCATTTCCTACCTTTCTGCCCCCAGCAGCACTCATGTTTCCTGCCTGCGTGGATTTGCCTATTCTGACCTTTCATGTAAGTGTATCGCAGGACATGTGGCATTTTGTTCCAGTTCCTTTCACTTAGCACAGAATTTTCAGGATTCATTCATGTACCGTGTACTTCGCTCCTTTTGTGGCTAATACTCCATTGTAAGAACATGTTGTTTTATGCATTCATCAGCTGCTACTTTGTTTCCTTGTCTCTATATTCACCTCACCTCACCAACTTCGCCCTGCTAAACCAAGAAACACTTGAGAGAGGGGAGCCCTGGGCTTTGTAAAAGTGGTCTGTCCTTTTCCTTTGGGCAGACTGTCTTTGCACGCTCAGCTGACCCTGTGGACACGCAAGTGTCGTCAGCCAGACAGGACGTTCGTCCCACTCTTCCTCCCTTTATGGTCTGAGTCAGGACTTTGGAGCTCTTGCTCACGTCACCGGCCCAAGTGTCACCTCAGTTTGTACATCACCAGTAGCCTTTTGTGAACTCTGTGGGGCTTCTGGTCAGCACCAAGCCAGCTTGAACTTCACCAGCTCACATGTGCCCTTCTAGAGAGGTTCAGCACAGACTGCAGGCCCAGACGGTACGGGGTCCTGCATGCCCGGCTCACACGAGGTTCCCAACCCTGGCTGCTGCTTAGTCAGCTAGGAACGCGCAGCTGGGAACCTGGCACCCTCCTCAGAGATGCTGGCCGAGACAGCCCAGAGGACATACTAGTGGATTCTAATGCATGCCCCAGGTTGAAAAAGAGTGCTTTCCCTTGTTTGTCCTTTTCTTGCCACTGTAACTGGAAAGGTGACCCAGCTGTGATGGAAGACGTTTTGGCTTCATTCTGGGAGGAAAGGAGTTGTGAGTAGGGCCTTCCTGCACCTTCTCTGCTCCTACTAGAAGATGAGCCTGGAGTGCCTCATCTTTTCTGCCTGCCCAAGCCCATTGAGAACCAGGACTTCGGGTCACCTCATTCAACCCTGCAGACGCCATGGCAGGCCGGCCAGTTCCTTCCTCTGCATCTGCATCATGCAGCCGAAGCTGTTAACTGGACAATGCTTGTGCCAGAGTACTAGGCTAGGTGGAACCTGAAGCTGGGCAGCAGGTTCCTGCAGCTTGGCAGGATAAAAAAGCCATGGCTCACATTTTCCTAGGCAAAATGCCATCTGCCCACAAGGCCTTGTCATTCCAGCAGCACTTGCTGTTGGTAGCTCCTGAGACTTAAGATGGACTGTGCCTTTGTAAAAGAAAATGCAGGATTCATTCTGAAACTGCCAGATCTAACCAGTGGGCTCGTGGGCTGGCCAGAGTAGATAAAGTGCCTTCCTGTGCCGAGACTGCCAGATCACAGCCTGCACAGCGACCAGCCTGCAGTGCCATCCCCATTCAGGGCTAACCCTTCACCTGCACCAGATCCACCACTGATGGCTTTTGCAAAAGAGGGTAGGCAGTGAACACATGCCCGGTCTCCCGTGGGGTGCGTTCTCCAGACCCCACTGCCCTCCCAGTGAGAGGTAGAAGATCCGTGAACCCCACCTTCCTTGCACCACCTTTGCAGTTGTACATCTGCAAACCATGTACTTTTGAGTTTATCCTGAAATGACCCATCTAATTTAAATATACAGTTGGCCCTGTGCCCCCCTGTGGGTTCTGTATCCAGACTGAACCAATCTCAGATGAAAAATACTTAAAAGATGTATCTGTCCTGACCATTTTCTTGTCATTCCCTAGACTATTTATTATACTACATACTTAACCTAATATTCAGTCTATTAGATATAAGTAATTAATGATTAAAATACAGATTTTGTGGGTTATATGAAAATATGCCATTTTGTGTGCATTCGTGTGTGTGTGTGTGTTTGTGTTTGTGTTGCTGGGATTTGAACCCAGGACCTTGAGCATACTGGGCAAATTAGCACTGAGCTAAATACCTGGCAGCTACAAGTAGATGGCTGTGTGTATTCTTAAATTGTCCTGTCACTACACAAAATAGATACTTGTCTTAAATACAATAGAGGGAAAATAGAAACAAGAACAATGTAACAGTGAATTGTGAGATTACAGCCACCAGAATTCTGAGCCTGCAGCAGTGTCTGTTGGAATGGGAGACACATCAGTGCTGGAAGGTGAAGACACTTGTACTCAGCAGGGGTCTTCGATGTCACACATCAGTGCAGTGGCACAGCACCGTCAGGGGGACCCCTTAGGATCACATGCATAAGGCACTGAATGCCTGTCCCTCAGCACTGAAGCTGCAATTGAATGCCTTGTGCAATCCTATGTTGCCACACACTGAGTTGATCACTGAATTATTTCTAGCTGTCTCAGTCTGATTATTTGAAGATACTCTGGAGTAGGAATTTCTCAAAGGATCTAATGTGTCATCATCTCTATTTAAGAAACGATTTTTCCCTAATTGTTTTTAATCTTTATTTTGCCAAAATAATCCTTTTCATCATCATAACAGATTTTGGCCAAACTACCTTTTGATTAATTTGAGAAATGTTTAGGGAAATGGCTGCACCTTGAGACCATACTATTATTTACTTTTTGGAGACAAGGTCTCACTGTGGAATCCCGGCCAACCTTGAGCTTGAGGCAGTCCTGCTGCCTCCACCTCCTGAGTGCTGGGATTATAGGCATGCACCACTACACCTGGCAGAGACCAGATTTTTAAATGAATAAATAAGATACATATTTAAGTATTCTTGTTTTTCTCGTGTGAGAAACCAAAAGCATAAGAAAGGACCAAACGTGAAAATTAGGAAGTAGGAAGAAAATGTTCAAAATGAGAAGGGAAAAGCAAAAACAGGGAAAAAAGGTAAACAAAGAAGGGAAGAAGTGCTGAAGGGAGGGGAGGGGAACGGGGAAAGGAAATCAGGGTATGTCATGTAATTCCCTACAATGAATGTGATCATTATGTATGTCAAAAGTACCAATAAAATTAATTAAAAAATAAACTGCTTTCAAAAATTTCAAAACTCTTTTAAGTAGTAGTTATAGAATTTTCTGTTTAAATCACACCCACATACATGATACAGATGCTTAGCAGAATCAGTGCCGTTCTCAGCTGACACAATTTTGGCCAAAAGCAAGAAACTCGGTTTTGCTGCTGATAAAGATGTTTGTCTTAGGCCGCTGGGTGAACTGTGCAAAGCTTGCCTGTGCTGTTGTAAGTGGCCTTTGTGACCTGTTTGAGAGCACTCCTGTGAACCATAGCATGAGGACAGAGGCTGGCAGTTAGGTGTGTGAAATGATTTGCATGTGGGTGGCCCATTTCTGCTCCTGAGACAATTTGTAGGGGATGCCAAGGACAGCCAAATTTCATTTATTATAAAGCTACAAGAATGTTCTAAACAAGGTAAGGATTTCCAGCATAGATTATGAATTACCCGTAATCATCGGACTGTATCACATGAATTTCAACTTCAATTTTAGCTTTTCAGTTTCCTTGTCTTGTCTTCCCATGTGCCAGCCCATGACGCCAAGTGCATCACAGATTCCTACAACTGCAATTAGACAAGTGCATCTTAGTGCACTGTGGTTTGTGCACTTCAAGAATTAGGAGTACAGCCTGGACAAGGAGACTCAAGCAGGATTTGGAGTGGGATAGAGATTCATGCCTGTTTCTGTTCTAGACCAATGACAGGAAACAAGTCACACTCCATTTTCAGAGATTCTGTAACTGTAGTAATGATCTCGGAAAGCTTTTTGTCCACGCTGATTTGGATGAAGTTTTCTGGAGCTGTCGGGGGCTCCAGAGTATCAAACTGGGACTGCAATAACTCAGGGGGCATGAAATGTCCTTTCCTTTGGCGTAAGCGTCCAGAGATGATCTTGAATGAGCCGCTCAGATGGACCACGAAGAGCTGCACCTTGGCGCACTTCTCTTTCTTTGACTCCCCACATTCTGGGGGTGCATTATCTTTTCCTTTTCTTAGGATGTCTCTGTACATTTTCTTCAGGGCTGAGCAGGCTAGAACTACACGCTGTCCTAAGGCTGCATCTCTTTTTTTCAAAGGAGGGAGGATAAAGAATGATAGGAAAATACTGTCAATTCTAAGTGGAGGACTTTTATTTCTTTGCCAGTAGGTTAGAAATTAAGTTGAAGCACCAGGCACACTTGGCTTTGGGTTAAAGATTGATTGATGATTAGGGACTGAGGTGTTGGGCAAAGTTCACTGCCCACATGTCCCTCGTCATTAATGTGACTGCTCAGGTTAGCTGCCCAAAAAGCTGTGGTGAGGAAGTTGAATGAGGTGCCTGGAACACAAGCACCCAGGAAAGACTGCCCTGCTCCTATGGTAATGGGGTGTGGCTAAGTCTCAGCAGTAGACACAGGGCCAGGGGCATGCACCTGTGCCAGGCAAACAGCTCAGCCCAGGACCTCCAGCAGGTCCAACATTCACTGCTTCCCATCCACTCCGCAGTGAGGATCAGGGGAGCTGCTAGAGAAAGCGAGAGAGGGAAGCTTGGGTCCCTGAACAGGCAAGGCAAGCATGCTGTGAGATGTTTGCAGGGACACACCAAGGAGAAAACCTGCGGCAGCCTGGCCCAGCACAGAGGGAACCTAAGGAGTGAGCTCCAGGGTCCACTCTGCTGCATCAAGGCTGGCAGTGATGCTGGGGCCAGAGACTAGAGGTAAGAGGTAGAAGGTACGGGCTGGCCTGTATCTGGTTGAAAGCTGTCTTTCAGAACTTAAAAGAGTTCTGGCGAGGCTTGGTGGTGCACACCTATAATCCCAACAGTCAGGAGGCTGAGGCAGGAGGATTGCTATGAGTTCAAGCCAGCCTGGACTACAAAGGGAGACCATACTCCCTCCCCCAGTAAAAGTACTTAAGAGTTCTGGAGTTGCGTTGGTTCACATCTAATGAGACCTTACTGATTCTGGATCTAGTCTGTACCCTCCTGGCCAGCATGACTGCCAGCCATGATGCAGCAGACTGGGCTCTGGAGCTCACTCCTTAGGTTCCCTCTGTGCTGGGCCAGGCTGCCACAGGTTTTCTCCTTGGTGTGTCCCTGCAAACATCTCACAACATGCTTGCCTTGCCTGTTCAGGGACCCATGCTTCCTTCTCTTGCTTTCTCTAGTGGCTCCCCTGATCCTCACTAGGGTCCTCACTTTTGCTCCCAGTCCTGGTCGGTCCTGTTATAAAGAGACTCCAAGGAATCTACTGGGCACAGAGACCCAGATGGGCAGGAGCTCCCACACCCTGAAACTGTAAACATGAAGCTCCTAAATCCAAACCCTAATAAGCCCATGTGAAGACTGGGCTCCCAGCCATGTCAGTAAGGTGTGAGAAAAGCACACTGAATTTTTAGTTATAAACACACTGACTTCCAATGGCCCAGATGGTTTTGGTTTGACAAAACATGGCTTTTTCCAACCCATTCCCTTTTTCTTTATTCTCCAGTCCCATCCAGCATTTCCAGTGGGGCCAGGGCTGGGTGTGGTTAGCTCAAAGACATGACTCAGAGCTGGACAACACAGCTACAGTCCTAGTAGCCATGTACTTGTATTCTCACAAATGACCCCAGGCTGCCTCGGTTGTCAGAGCTTGAGAGCACGAGTGGTGATACAGATGGACTACATAATGGAGGCATCAGTTAATATTTCTGATAATTTACTCTATATTAGCTGTTCTCAGTGTAACCCATGCACCATCTTATCCCCCATGATATTCTGAGTAGGAACTATGTGCAGCTCATATTATGAAGAAAGAACTGTGGGGGGCCTGCTCCTTAGTTCAGTTCTGGGGGCCTGCCCCTTAGCTCAGTTCTTTAAGTGGCTGCTTCAACAAAGCAGTCAGGCTCAGGTTGCTGCGGTTCAATCCCCACAACTCAAGCCAGCCAAACCTGCCCTGAAGGCATTTGGAGCAAAAAAAAAAAAAAAAAAAAAAGCTGTGGAAGCCATGTGGCTGGTGGAAAACTCCCAGCTAGTACTCAGCACAGAGCAGAAGGAAACAAGGCCCCAAGGCCCGGCTGAGCAGCAGGCCATCTGTGGCTGCGTGAAATCGGCATCATTATGGAGAGAGGAGCATTCTATTTCTGACATCCTTTCTCAGCCAGGTGTGACTGCAAGAGTGACTCTCCTGCTATTCTGTCTGATGGGATTCTTTACTCACTGGCTAGAGGATCTTTTTTCTTTTTTTGGTGGAACCAGGGATTGAATAGTGGATCTCTTACCTTAGTAAAATGTCGTGCAAGCTGCAGAGCCACGGGATCCTGTCCTGGAATCAGAGCACACATGAAGAAACTTTTCACAAATGCCGAGGTCCAGAGAGTCAGTGGCTATCAGTATTTTTTTTTTTTTTTGATAAAAACTGCTGGTCCTCCCTTAGAGTCTGTGCATGTTTAAACCTCTCTGTGGTTCAGACAGACTGAAGACAAATCTCGTCCTGCACTGTGTACACATTCCAGGTCCTCTCACTGCAGACAAGCTCTTACACTGCTTTCAGCTGTGCTCTGGTCCAGCTCATCAAGCCCTCCAAAAGCCAAAACTCTCCCAGAAAGATGCACTGTGAAAATTCTTTCCATTTTTTTGTTGTTTTGCACTGCTAAGATTGAACGTAGGGTCTCACAAAAGATAGGCGGGTATAGCACTGAGCACATCCCTGGCCCTGATGATTTTTACTTTTGCAAAAGAGAAGACAGAGGAAGTTTATGTAGCACACCCTGTGGTGTCTTGCAAAGAAATTTTCTCCTTCATAGGAGTAAACTGAATACTGGCCATCCTACACTGAAAACAAGGATGAAAGCACCTCTCCTTAGGAAAATTGAAGCACACGGAGACTGAAGAGTACAAGCATCCTCTACACCCCCGTGAAGCATCTTGAGTCAATTTTCCAGTCACATTTTTTTTGTTTAGGGGGCAGCAATTTTGAGTCAGGGTCTTGCTGTGTATGCCTCTAGCCATACGCTTATCTTTGGGCTCTATCCTTAATTATTTTGAGGCTTACAGTATCTTAAAAAGTTCTTGGTTTTAGGCATTCGACACTACCTTTTGTTTAGGGCTTTCCATTTATGTATTATGTGAGATTGTCCTACTTATGTAACCTATATTAAATTCAGTGATCGAGGTTACATTAGGTTCATAAAATAAGTAGGATAGCTTTCTTCTTTTCTAAAACTGTATACATTCGAAAAACCTTTCAGGCTGGGGTCTTTTTTTGAGGGAAGATCTGACCTCTGATTAGTTCCTTTTTTTTTTTTTTTTTGTTTAGGGGGCAGCAATTTTGAGTCAGGGTCTTGCTGTGTATGCCAGGCTGGCCTTCAACTTGCAGTCTCCCTGCCTCAGCCTGCTGAGTGTGGGGATTACAGGTGTGTGCCACTACGCCCAGTTTTATTTAGATTTTCTGTTGTGTTGTTTTTTTGCAGTGCTGGGGACATCAGGTTTTCTACTCTTGATTCACTTTGCAGTGTTTAAAGTGGCAAGAGGATCCTGTGCATGTTCACCCGCAACCCCTCCTCTTGCGCCTGCTCTTCTGTGACGAAGTACTCTGACTGGCCATGCAGTAAGGACACTTGGCCCATCTCAGGCCCTCTCAGCCCTGTTCCTAGGCCTTCAGGGCCACTGCCACACTTGTAGCTGAAAGGGCATGCTGCACAGTCATTTTCATCAACTTTGTCACTACTTGTTTGTACTACCCCTGGCTGGCGTGTCCTTGCTTTAGTAATAATACAAAGTGACACAAAAACAATGTAAATTTACCAGCAAAAGCTATATTTCAAAAGGGAGAAGCCAGGGAAAGGATTGAAGCTTGTGTGTAGTTGGAGGGGACACTGATCAGGGTTCATACTGCCCACACATGAAATGTGTGGAACTGGGTGCTGGATGATGGGTGGGGGTCTGGATGATTCCTAGTTTGGTCCAGATTTCATGGCTCTGGAGAAATCTGGAGGCTCAAGGAATATTCTATCATCACCGAATGGTGTTTTCTTTCATCAGTCATGTTGGGTTGCTTGTCCTGTATCCCAGGTGACTTCTGGTTTGGGATAATGGATGGGACTTGTTGCTGTCAGGAAGTCTGGAATGGGACACTGTAAAAGCTGATTGTTGGATGTTATTTTGAAAGTGAAATTGAGGGCCGGGGAGATAGCTCAGTAGAATAAGTGCTTTCCTGGCAAGCGCAGGGTCCTGAGCTCAATCCCCAGTACTGCAAAAAAAAAAAAAAAAAAAAGTAAGAAAATGAAATGGATCTTGAAAATTACCTTATTCTTATCTTGGTGTCCTCCAAGTTAGAAGAGGTTGAGGTAACCTAAGTAAGTATAGGACTGACCAACTTTACTCTGCCAATGTTTAGACAGACACCCCAACTGCTTGCTTGTATAGGAGGTCAGAAGGATCTGACCCATAATTTTACAAAATGAAGTCCAGCTTTACTGTTTTGTTATCTACTGGGTATCTGTAGGTCCAAGTGATGAGCAACAAGTTTTAGTAAAAACCATTTACTTAAGTTCCCTGACCATAAAAGAAGTGTGCTGCTTTTATGGAGTAACTGGTTAAGGGACCCAAAGCCTTTGGTCCTCACTGTGATCTATGACTGCAGTGCCTGTAGATCTGCAGCCCTATTGGTTCCCAAGGCAGAGGTGGATTCCCAAGCAGTGGCTGGACTTCCATTGGTCCAGGATTCCATGTACCTTTTTTTTTTTTTTTCCTTCAGTAACATGGATGTTTCTTTTCTTTTTTCTTTTTTTTTGAGACAGGGTCTTGCTATGTAGTTCAGGCTGACCTTAAACTCACTATGTGTCCAGGCTGGCCTTGCACTTGCAGTGATCCTCCTGCCTCAACCTCCTGAGTACTGGGATTACAGGTGTGCACCACAGGACACAGCTCCTGGATTCTTTTTTACTGTGTTTTCTACTTGAACACTTAGCCTGTTACTCATTTTTAAAATTATTTATTTACTTATTTTTTACTGAGAAAAAAAGTATATATTTAGAATTGGCCAGCTGGACTCAGTTTAGATGATCCCAATTTTGTTGGTAATATCTAATGCATCACAATCAGGAGCCAGTCGAACATGTGCCTTCTTCTCTCCATCAGGCCTGATTAGGGTCCTGACCTTGGCAACATCGATGTCACAGAGCTTCTTATTTTATTTATTTGAGAGAGAGAGAGAGAGAGAGAGAGAGAGAGAGTGGTGTGTGTGTGTGGCCAGCTCAGCCCACCAGGGGGCGCGACTGGCTGGCATGTGGTGCTGGGGGATTGAACCGCGGTCCCTGATGCTTTGCAAAGCTTGTTCTAAGTAGGTGCTTTAGACCACTGAGCCATCTCTCCAGCCCCATCACAGAGCTTCTTTACAGCTTGTTTGATTTGGTGTTTATTGGCTTTGACATCTACAATGAACGTTGAGTGTGTTGTTGTACTCTATCTTTTTTAACTGATTTAACTGTCTTGTAAATTTAATTCAAGGTACTTTTGTTATATAATTTTAAAAAAATTATTTGTATTAGGATTTTTATCTCAAAAATTATGGGATTTTTTTGTTTTGCTATTTATTTTTATCATTTCTAATTATTTTGGTAATATTTGAGAATTTGTTGATTTATAATTAATTTTTTTTTTCCCTGAGACAGGGTCTCACTATGCAGTTTGGGCTGGCCTTGTGCTTACTTCTGTAGCCCTCTGGCTGATCTCAAACTTGCAAAGATCCATCTGGCTCAGCTTCTAGAGTGCTGGGATTATAGACATGCACCACCACCCAGTTCCTGGGACATATGGTGAGCATTCTCCAGATTGCCAAGATGGCACGCTCAAACATTTAGGGCCTAGACTGCACAGGCTGTGGGGCCAGGGATCAAACTCAGGTCCTTGTGCTTGCCAGGTAGTTGCTTATGCTTCTGAGCTCTCTGGCCCCTCAATTAATTTGTGGGTTTTTTCTTTTGTATTTTAGGACAGGGTATACAGGGTCTACAGGGTTTTACTGTGTAGATCAGACTCATGATCCTCCTGTTTACAGCCTCCCAAGTGCTGGGATTACAGGCGTGCATCACCCTGCCCAGGCTCAGTGGCCGCCTCAGTGTGCCCCAGGGATGGCACAGCAGGCCTGGGGATCGAACTCCCAGCCCGTGTCTGCCTAAGCAGGTGCTTTAATCCACTGACCTATTTGGCTGGCCCAATTAATTTGTTAAAAAAAAAAGTGATTTACATGATATTCTTTGGTGTTTGCAGTAACATCCTTTGTGGCACAACACATGGCCAATTTTTAAAAATGTCTATATTTGAAAATATTTATGACTTATTTTTCATTAATGCATATATTTGGCTTGATTCATTTGTATAAATTTTCTATATCCTTATTAATTTTTTTTGTCTATTTATCTCTTGTCTTCACATATGGCAGAAAGAGCATTTTACTCTTTTTTATTTTATTTGGTGGTAATGGAGGTTAAACCTAGAGCCTTCACATGGAGCTACCGTCCCAGCCCTTTTTAAACTGAGAAAAAGTCTAAGTTGTTAAACTGCCCAAGTTGGATTTGAACTTGTAATCTTCCTGCCTCCAACTTCTAGAGTGCTAAGATTACAGATATGTACCACCATATCTCGCTTGCCCTTACTTTTGAATTTTTAGTTGGTGAATTTTTAGCTGTTATTTTTTATGACAGTTTAAATAACTATTCTATTGTATTTGGGGCCTCTGTTGTTGAAAAATCTTTTGGTGTACTTAACAATCCTCATACAAATAGAAAACTTATTTTTCTTTTTGGTGGCTTTCAGCAGGTAAAAACTTTTGTCTCTTTGCAGCTTTACTGTTCATCTTTCTCAGAATTTACTTTGTTTATATAGTCCAGACTGAATGCCCTGGAAAAGTGTAAATATGATGGCTTTGAATACGGCCACTTACCCTGTCTCCTTAGATTCCTTTTAGCTGTATGGAAAGTTTCTCATTTCATTGCCTATCTCTTATTTTTTTCTTGAGTATGTTCTAAGTTTTTTGCTTTCTTCTGTAGTCTTTTTCACATGTGAGAGTCCTAGATTTCTGCTGTATCCACAGGTTGTTTCACCAATTCCTGATAAGGTTTATATGAATCAGTTTTTTATCTGGATGACTCTAACATGAATTTGGGAGAAATAGAGTCTTGTTTCTCAAGGATGATTTTCCACCTATAGCCCAGAGAAGATGGCCAGATGTTTTGGTGATTCAGTCCAATGGAGGAAATACTTTTAAAACCCAAAGATAGCCCATAGAAAGATTTCTGTAAGATATTCCAGCTGCATGCTTCATAC